AGGAATTCTGATGCAATTTAAGAATGAAGTGGCTGAGCTACTAAGAAAAATATGCAAACTCTCATTCAAATCTGCTACTGTACTGGAGTAATGAAGGGCAATAAATATTGTAGCTGTCTTTTAAATGTCTCTCAGGATGACACTGTGTGACGAAGCGGGACTGTTCTTAATGTTTCCTCTGAATATTGTAGGGGTGCCTCAATTTCCCCTATGCAGTTCTTAAGTCTCTAGGTGGTGGGATAAAGGGGTGTAATTGTTGGAGAGCAAAGGGCCAGTGTACATAAATGGCCGACACTCTGTCTCCTGGCAACTGATGGCCTGGGCCCTTCTCCCCTGCAAGGTGATAGCTAAAGGGGTGGAGAACAAAGGAATCAGGTGACCTCCTGGCCCAGGAAAGGGACAAAGCCCAGAGGAGGAGGGGCTGGAGGGTGAGTCAGTTTGGGGCTGGCTGGGGATGTGGAGTGAAGTGTAGACATGGTTGTCTGGCTCACTGCCCCCCAAGATGGACCCGGCTGAGGGGTCCTGTTCTCTGTACCTACAAGCTCTGTTTTAGACCATGTTCCTGTCGTTTAATAAACCTTCTGTTTTACTGGCTGGCTAAGAGTCACGTCTGACTGCGGCATTGGGGTGCAGGGCCCTCTGGCTTCCCCAGGAGCCCCACCTGGGTGGACTCGCTGTGGGAAGCACACGGAGGGGCAGAGGATGCTGAATGCTCCTAGGTCAGACCCAGGAAGGTGGAAGCCATATGAGCTGTTTGCCCTGGAGACAGTCTGCTCACAGACAGGAGACTTCCCCAGAGTCCTGACTGGCTTCATAGGGAGCAGTTCCAGAGCATCACCCGGAGACTCCATGACACACTGGCATCACAGATTAGTAAATCTAATTCTAGAATTGTACCAGGTAAATGGTTGAAACGTCACACAGCATCATATATTTTTCAGGAAGGTCTCTATTTAGATACTGACCAGGTCTGACTCAGCCTAGTTTAAGTGATGTGACAAGTTCACAGCTCAAGATGTTACCTTTTTTCACAACACAGTTAATCAAATTCCATCCTACAGTAGTTTCCCAGGTTACCAGTGTGATACTGGCAGACCAGGTGCCAGCCCTTGCCAGGCTTTAGGCCTCAGCTGAGCACTGATAAATTCATTGCTGGAAAGCAGTCCGGCTCACCTGTGTGTTAGTGTGGTGAGGATGGGTACTTAACTTATAACAATGTGTGCCATGTTTAGACTTGGTGAAATGCTTATAAGTTGCTGCATGCATTAATCTCACATATAATATCTTTATCACATAGTAGAAGATAATATTTAAGTTTTTGCTTTATAACTATAAAAATGTGTTCTCTGAATCCATGAACCCAGTCAGAGGGATAGCCTGCTAAGCATCAAGAAGGACTCTCAAAACTAAAGGGACCATTGTGGAACATCACAATACAAAGACTTTGTTAATTGCCCCTTCACAGCCATGAAGAGGCTATGTGCAAAAGGGCTCATCCCATCAGTCTGAATTCTGGAAGAAGGAAACAAAAACAGCTGACAAGAAAATTTTTCCTCTCTCTCTTTTGTTGTTTGGACTCTGACAGGGCTGGAGCTACGAAATAGAAGCAGAGATCCCCAGGGTCAAATGGATTAAAAGACATTCTGAGCTGATAGTTTACTACAACTGTGTCATCTTTTAAAACCAAAGGCTCTAATTCATTTTCATATATATGTTTGCTTCCTTTAACCTTTTAATAACTCATTTCTTTTTCCTAGTTAATAAATCTTAAATTCTTTATTACAGGATTGGCTACAAGCATTATCTTTTGTGTGATATCTAAGGTACAAATTGACCTGGGGTAAGTGACTGGTCCCTTGAGACTGGAAGTAACCTGAATCCTTTTTGATCTTTGGTGTATAGGAACCAACTGTCATAAGTCCTGCTTGCCTGAGTGACAAGATAGACTGGAATGCCCAAGGGGACTATTTGTGACTCTATGGTAAAACTGCTATAGTGCTTTTGGAGTTCATACTTGTTACTGGGTTAGTGAAATCTAATTATAGAACATACAATCAGTTTGGTGTGTCTGCCCTGCTTCTTGGCAGACTGCCCTGAGGTTGGCACTCACGGGCATGAGCCACTTCAGAGAGTGAGACAGCTATTATATAGCTATAGAAATGAGCTGCTCTCCAAAACCAAGAAGCAACCTCCTGATCCCCACAAAATAAAACAAGAGAAGTTGACTCAATTTAATTTTTAATGGTTTAAATGTGACAAAGATAGACAAAATGTAAGTACTTAGCTGTGCTTCCCATGTGGGGGGCATGCCCCCAGTGGTGGCATGAAAGATTAGCTGGAGGGGATGAGATGAAAAGACTTCTCAATTGTTCCCCAGAGTCTCAGTCTCCATTTTTCTTTAAATCATAAGTCTCTGGATGTTATGGCTCTGAAGAAAACTTTCAAAACATGAAGCAAGTGTAAGTAATCGGATGTCTGCCTGAGTTCACAATAGCTTTGAGGAGTGAAAACAGCTGTGGGGAGATAGGTAATTCCCTGTTGCAGAGGATTTTGAAAGTTCAAAATTTGGATTCATTCTGATTTGGAATGAAAACGAAAACTTTCAAAATTCTCCACAAACAGGAAAGCCCTGGGGGACCTGACCTCTGGGGTAGTCTGGCTGGCCTGGTCTTTGGAAAATCTGGGAGACTGGGTTGCCAAGGAGCTGCAAGCATAGATATGGGCACCTCGGCTCCTGTCTCCCCATCAGCCCACCAAGCAGCCTACTGAGGAGCTGGGTCGGTGAGCTGGCAGGATACTAGGCAGGTTTCTGGTGGAACCCTGGCTGCTTTCCATCAAATCTTGATCAAAAATCAACCCATCTGTTCAGATTGTTTTGGTGTTGACAAATCTGCATTATCCAACAGAAAAACATTCCATCAGAATTTCAGACCAACTCTAGTGGTGAACTGCTCCATTCTTAGATGTCAGTGATAATACTTTAAATTCCAACATTGTTAACTATTTCACTGCTCATCAAAGAGTATAAAGAAGGAGAGCAAGTATCAAATTATGAAGATCTACCATACCTTTTCCCAAAGAGTTAGTGCAAAGGATTAGTTGGGGGACATGGACACTGTATAAATCAACATGGGTAGAACTTTAACACCACTTGTGGGGAGAGGGGTGCCTGCACATGGAGACAATGGCTTTCATTTTCCTACAGGGTGCTCAGCTTTCAAAAATTTGGAAGCAGGGCAGTAGACAAAGTGGGAATGGGATAAACAATTCAGTTAAGGGGGAGATGAAACCTCACAAGGGAGGAGCTACTGAAGGGAAAAGAAGGGAAGGGAAAGAGCTACTGCTTTTGCACGATACAATAGGAAATACTTTGTTAAAAATAATGCACAAACATTCAAGAGAACAGTTTAACTTTGGGCACCTCTAACTTGAAAGTGGCTTTTTTCCCTCTCCACACACAATTTTGTAGGTGTTGAATCAATTATGTGCCTTTGAGAAATGAACAAGGATCAAAATGACAGTTGTTTCTTGTGGGAAATGGAGAGTTGGGATGACATTACACTTCCCATTTGCTAATCAATATTTTATCATAATTTTTACTATGTATTGCAAATGCATACAGCCTGTGTAACATCTGCATTGCTCAGATAGACTGGAATGGCTCCAAAGCACTTCTCAAGCATCTGTTTCTAAAACTTCCCCTATATTTACTGTTTATCCAACCTGGTCACTAGTTCATACTGATTCAATGGAGCATCTACATACTTACTGCACATTAGTAGAGAGGCTACATGGGAGTTTACATATAATAATTAGCTAGTCTTTCAAAATACATTGCGTTGCTCAAAGAAATAAATGCTGAAACCAGAGAAAACCCAAAGACTAAAATTACCAATAAGAAAGATTAATGGTCTGGGATTAAATTAATGAAAACAATGACACCGTTCAAACTTCAATTCTCTGCTTAGGAATCTAGTCGAGAGCTGGGGAGTTGGCAGAAACATTTCAGGGATGAGCCAGTCTGGCAAACAGTGGCAGCTATTATTTCTAATATATCACCATTCACTGTAAGCAAGAGGCAGTTCAGGCCAAGTAATGTTCAACTCCCTGAATATTTTACATAAAAATGCATGATCAGGAAGGACTCAATGCTCAAAAACAATTGGAAATGGGACCAGGAGCATGGAAGGAAGGAGTTGTGTGTGTGGGGGGGGCATTCTTGTATGGCAATGCATCCTTGAGGGGCATGCCCCTACTCAGTGTGTTAGGAGGCTGCATGATGAGGGCAAGGCTGAGTAGTAGAGCTCCTGTACATGGCATTTCCCCCTGCAGCTCAGTAGATTTCCATATAGATGTTGATGTGCTACTAACAGCATGAACTTGCTTGTGGCATCTGCCACACAGGGTATTGTGCAGAGGTGATGGAAAAGCCAATTTCCTCAGCAAGGCCAGAGGGAGTCTGGGGAACAGCAACGCTGTCTAAAGGGCTGACACTTTCCAGAAGGATGCCTGGCATCCATGGGGTTTGGAGGCCACTCCCGTTGCCTTCACTGTCCCTAGGGTTGCCACCCATCCAGTTTTCACCAGAAGAGTCCAGGTTTCGGCTTGTGAATCTGGGTGCCATTTGACAAGTCCTAACATCCAGTTTTTTTGATGGTGGGGGGGAGGGGTGGAGCAGGGGTGGGGTCTTGTGGTGGAAGAGAAAAAGATGGAGGTGGGGCATCAAGGGAAGAGGTGGAGCAGGGGTGAGGCTTTGGGGAAGAGGTGGAGAAGGGGCGAGGCTTTGGGGAAGAGGTGGAGAAGGGGCAGGGCCTTGGGGGAAGAAGCAGAGCAGGGGGCGGGGCCTTGGGGGTCCAGTTACCAGCCATTAGAAAAGTGGCAACCCTATCTGTCCCACTCCAATGCCCCTTCCCAGCAAGGAACATTTTTTAAAGGAAACTCATTGAGATGAACTTCCACAATTTCTGGGCTCAATGGCCTCCTCCCCTGAGTTTTTCTGCTAGAAAGTATGTTAATGGCCCAAGGCATCTTAAACAGACCCATCCTGTCTGCATTCCCAGTCTAGGGCAATGAGTGAAACATTGTAACTTTATATTGAGTGATGTATTTTGTATACAGCACTAGGCACCAGGGGGCCACGTCCAGTCAGATCTTTTTTGGAGCACTGAAGAGTGAAATTGTTCAGTGTCACTCGTCTGAGGTGAGCCTGAAGTCAAGCTCAGTATATTTTCCCTAAACCTTTAAATAGATACACAGATTTCAAAACCAGAAAGGATCATTGTGATTATCTAGTCTGACTTCCTGTATAACACAGGCCACAGAACTTCCCCGAAGACGTTCCTATAGCAGATCTTTTAGACAAAGATCCAATCTTGATTTTAAAATTGGCAGCAAGGAGAATCTGCCATCACTTTTAGTAAACTGTTCCAATTACCCTCCTTTCTCTCTTGCTTTCTTGTTTTAATGTTATCAACTAAATATACAGCAATGCCTTGTATGTTTCAGGACACCACAGGATCCTAAAGCTTGTAATAGCTGTTGGGAAATACACATTTGGAAAAAAGTTGGTATCTATCAGGAAAAGCTTCCTGAAAAATCAGAATTTTCTGAAAAGGCTCAACTTGATCCTAGCTCAGATGTTCCCAAACTTTTTGTCTGTGAGACCCAATTTTGAGACTTATTGTTTTAGCAGTGTTTTCCCCAGGAATTGAAATTACAGGGGGTGTTCAAATTTACGGGGTGGGGGAGTGTCAGGGCCGATGAGGGGTGAGACTGTAAGGGTGAAGGTGGGCTGTATGGCACCATAGCAAAAACTAAAAAATGTTTCATGACCATTTTATTAGATTTTAAAATCATTGCACAAATTTAAGTTGGCTACTCAAGCCCTCTAAGAAGCATTACATCTACATCCTTCTTGGTTTCTTGTTATAATTTTGCACAAGTCTGTTAATGAACTTCTTGAATGCAATGCGTTCATCTTTGGTGGCTTCTCGTGTTTCCAGTACTTCCATTCCTTCAACTGATATGCTCATTAGTTCATTCACATGATCAGGCAGAAGGTGATGTCTTTCAAAACACACAATTCTATTCAATGATGAAAAAGAATGCTCAACTGCAGCTGTTGTGACTGAGAGTAGCAAGAGATGAATTCCTACTTCTTTCAGCCCAGGAAACATAGCACAAAGATTGGGTCGAGCCACTAATGATGATAAAAAAGAAGTTGAAGTCAAATTTTCATTCGTCATATGATATTCCACTCTGTGTTCAAATTCTCTGTCCTGTCTTGAGCACATTGCAGCCCCATTGCTGGTAGTGCCTCACTCCACTCAACTGTCAGTGTTTTATTAGACAGGGATCTGTAAAAGCTACATAGAGATTGAGTAGAATCTAGAAGTCGCTGCTGTAGATTTTTAAGAATCAAGTCTGTGTACTTTTTCAGTTGTCTTAACAAACACTTCTTGTCTTCTTTACTTAAGGATTCAATACAAATGCCTTCATTAGTCAACTTCTGGACTGAAGTCTTTGCTTCTTCCAGTACTTTTTCAATGGCTAGCTCTCTGATTGATCCAAATATAGCTTCTATTTCTGGACAAAGATCTACTACTGTTGTAGCAGATACCTGGATAGCATTGTTTAATGACCCAAGTGGTTTCAACAGCAGACTTACAAGAGAGAGAGAATGGCAATAGTCTTCTCTGAACGTAGAAGCAAAAGTAATCCACCAGCCTCACTACTTAGATCCATCCCATCTTGGTAGATACTTTCCAAAGCCAGTAATAATGGCTGGAGTAATTTTAAGACAACAGCCAAGGATCGCTCATGAGAAAGCCAGAGGGTTTTCCCAGGTTGGACTAATTTGAACTTCAGTCCCAATGTATCTTCTATATTTTCCAAGATATGTAGTCTTTTTGGACTCTTGCCGAAAAAGGAATATAATGAAAACATTAAATTTATAGCTTTTTAAATGTCTTTTGAATGGTCTGTAGCTCGTACTAGCACTAGTTGGAGTAGATGGCCTCTGCAGTGTGTATAGGAGAGATTAGGGTCACACTTTTCTCTGAGCGAAGCTTGTACTCCACCATGTCTTCCAAAGAAGTTTGCAGCTCCATCAAATGCACAAGCAGCCATCTTTTTGGGGTCCCATTGACAAGCATTTAACTCTTCTAAGATGTGGGTTGTCACAGGTGCAGCCAATGTGTCTTCTATAACTTGAACATCTAGAAATGCATCTACTGGCCTACCACCGACATCAAGATAACATACACAATGACTTAATACTTGATGACTATTTGCGTTGGTGCATTCATCAGCCATGTATGTAAATTTTTTGAATGTGGTGAGAGGGTTCTTCACTTTTTCAACTGTTGAGTCTTTCACTGTTGCACCACATGCATCTAGCCAGTCAGTTGAGTTTCTAGCAGAAAGATAGTGGGAGCATTTGCTGGTCTTGTTCTGAACCAGTGTTCAACTTCAGGATGAACAAGTGACAGTGCACTTAACATTGGCCTCCAGTTTGTAGTGTGTGGTATCTCTTGCTTAAATAGAAAGTATGATGCCACAGCCATGTTTGTTCGCATGAACTGTGTTGTGTAACAGCCTCATTAACACTCGCTGGTGTTGTCCTTGGTCAGCGGAGACTCAGAGATGCTTTCACATGAGTTTACCTCCCAGGTGGGGGGCAAGAAGGCACCTTACCTTGCTCGTTCCTCCAGCTGCTCACTGTTTGTTCTGGCCACTGTTGTTCGTTGTGCCACCGTTCACTCCATCGCTCTGTTGCCAATGGCCCTGCACCATCACCTTCTGCTGCCACCTGCCACTGTGACCTCTGCGAGTTGGTCTCTTGAGGTTCCACCCAGTTCTCAGTGATTTTAGCTGAGCTCTCAGTGGGGGAACCTCACTGCTAGTGCAGACTGGGCCATCTCTTCCACAGAAACATTGTCCCACAGCAGGTCTAAGCACTTAGACCGGATTATCAGTGATTTCAGCTGTAGTGGTCACTTAACAAAACAAAGACTATCTGTGGAGCCTAATCAGCTCTGTCTTTAAATGGTGGAGAGAGGCAGGTCTAATAGTACTTGTGACTCAAGCAGACCGTCAAGCAAAACACCTGTTGCCACCCTTTCTCTCTAGAAGCCCTTTACTCATACAGGCTAAGTACAGTTCTACTGCCCTTTACTCATAGAATAAGAACAACATTTCTTTACCCCCCGCATTCAAGTGATTTGTAACCCAACCCCAGCCAATATCTATCACTTGGGCAACACAGCTCTGTTTGCTGGATACCTAGGTAGACTAGGTGTGAATGTAAATACAATCTGGTCCTGAAGCCTTTCCGCCCAGCTCATCACTAGCTGTCAGGGAGAGCTCATTTAGACTTTGCTTACAAATCATAATTTGAAATTATTAGGTTGGCCAATGTCACCAAAATGAATGCACTGACATTGTCATAAACAGCTGTACAAGGAAGCTAGTCTATGTTCATACTTTTCAAATCTATTATACTTTTTCAGATACACGTATTTTATCATACACTGTATGTGCTTTTAAAGTGTGTATTAATGTTTCAATTTCAATTCACATTTCCAAACAAACACTGCATGTAACTAGTTCACAAAACTGGGAAGCGGGGGGTGGGCAAATTCGGGGGAGGTAAACACTGCTATGGGGGCGGGGGGTGAAGGGAAATCCCTGGACCCCAGACAGCACCAATGCAACATAGCAACCAAGGCATCCAAGGAATTTACACATGACGTACATCACTTAATGCTCTCTAATGTGACACATGGGCTTGTGTGTTGCGACAGTTTCTTGAAGTCCGGCGGTGTGGTACAAATCACATATCCAATCTCCAGTCTGACATCAACAGTAGATCAATACTGAGACTTGATGGACACAAGTGTGCTGAATCCAGCTTCACACAAATACATGCTCATGAAAGGCACCATCAGTTTCAAGGCATGTGTTGAGAGTGTAGGATATTCATCCTTCACAGTGAACCAGATCTCTGGGGGAGAAAGTTGGGCATATGTTCCCCACAAGAACTGATTACAAGAAATTTTGATGAGCTGTTTGATTTCACCAGCTGGCAAATCCAGAGCATCAGCCTTGCACTGAAAGGGGTTACACACCCAATCATACTTTGTCACATCCACATTTGGGGAAAAAGGATGCAAACCACTTCTCCAGCTGGCTGAGATGCTCAGCCATCACCTGTGTGGGAGGCTGAATAATTTCATTGTCAGCCAGGAACTTGCAACGCTGTGGGAAGGATTCATAGTTTGTCTGCAACAGATTATTCTTCCAGAAAACAATTTTCTTCATGACTCCTTCGATTACTCAGCTGAAGGGCGTGGGTGTTCTTTTCTTGCAAACCTGCATTCAATTTATTCAGTCTCCCAGATATGTCTGTGATATAGGCAAGAAGGCACATCTTCCTTTGACCACGTAGAAAATCAATGAATTCACTCTTTTTGTAGTCCATTGCAAAGGTACACATTTTGTCACTCAGTTCAAAAAATTGTCCCAGTACTTTTCCCCTTGAGAGCCAATGAGCTTCAGTGTGGAACACGGCCACATGATCGGACCTCATTTCTTCATGCAGTTTTGCAGACACACACCAAGAGGCTGAGTCTTGGTGTAGGTCATATAATTGTAGATCAAAATGGTGGCCTCCTGGGACGGCATTTGTGGAGCAGATCTGAACACGTTTGGGGGCAAACGGCATCATCTCATGGGCTCAGTCTGGCCCATTGGACCTGCATTCCCCATCTGCTGATGGTGCAACCCCATTTGGGATCATGACCCAGAGTTTGGGAGCCTGTGCCCTAGTCCAACTGACTTCACTATGTCATCTGCACAAGGAGCTAGCACAGCTCAGGATAACAGATCTGGTGTGATTAAAAAAATAGCACAAGATCTTAAAACCTGTCCTGTCTTCATATTCAGCTATTTCTTTGACTTAATATAATATCGGGCTACATGATTGCATCAGCCAATCAGACTGCCAGATTTCACATGCCATTTACTGAGTCTGAATAGTCTGTCCTAATTTAAAACAGCAGAATGCACACTTTGTATTCGATAAACGAATGGTCAGGAAGCCCAGTTTTCATGTTTTTAATACATTCTGCATTTTTATGCCATTAGATATCTGTGCATGCAGCCGACCGATTTCAAACGCTGTGTGTGCGTGCGTGTGCCCATACATGTACATGGGTGTGTACATGAACATCAGATATTTGTAGAATCTGAATAGAGATAAGCCCTTTAGGAAAATGTCAAGCTATCTAACGCAACAAAACCTTCCTATATTTAAGTTACCTTTAGAAAGGCTGAGCAGAACTATTTGTGCTGCCATCCCCACTGGCCAGTTGTTCAGAACAGTTTGTTACAGCAAAGGAAAGGTTTCCTCATGCAGAGCAATGTTCTCTTTCTTCCATGTGGAGAAGGACCAGCAATACCAGGGAATGATTTGTTAAATATTTCATTCTTGTTGATCGCTTTAAAGCCCCATTCCTCTCCCACAGTCTGATCCAAGGACTAGTAATGAAGAAACCTCAAAAAGTGACTACAAATGTCAGTTCAGCTAGGCACCCAGAGTTTGGGGGTGACATCTTGAGCCCCACTGAAGTCAATGGGAAAATTCCCTTCGTCTTCAGTGGCTGAACTTTTAGACTCCCTTCGCTCTGCACAGCTTGGCTGAAAATTTTATGAGGAGTGGCTCAGTTGTGATGTTTCTAGTACTTTTTGCTGGGGAGACCAGAGGAGCTGTCTCTTTCACCATAGTTTGACATTTCCACTTTCTAGCTGTTACCAGGAACTGCAGAGTGGGGAGTAGGTTGCTATACGTAACCCCATTGTGATCAGCTGATAACTGGACTAACTCTATTCCACCTTGATTTAATCCTTGATGATTTATTAGAATGGGAAATGATGGATCATGTCTTTATTAATAGCATTATATAATGTACTATGAAAGGAAACCCAGCTTCTCCCACATTACTTTGTGGAAATGATAGAAACAGAAAACAAAGCAGAACTCTACTGTCCCCACCATCCCCATGGTCCTGTCTTTGAGACTGGTACAAAGGAAGGGAAGCTCCCAAACGTTCCACATTACCCCCAGCAGCCGGGCAATCTGGAGTTACCTCAAACAATTATGGTCCCGCAACTAGAGATGCTAAAAGCCTCCTTTCCTCAAGGTCAGGGTAAGAGAAGCCTGCACTTGACAGCCAAATCCACCAGCCAACACCCTGTTCTCAATCTGCCTCTGCCTGCCCAGCTAGAACGGTCTCCTTTCAGTGAGCATGCTGACTTACATTGTGGGCGGGTTGTCTGCCAGGTCCCTTTCCCGATAGCACAGCGAAAAGATCAAGTTGCACATGGTGACATAGCAACTCTGCCCCCTTCCCTCCAAAGCACATACCCTTTTCAAGCCTCAAAAGTGGTCAGCAGCGCAAGTACACAGGGAAGGTCCAGGTCTAAGTCTATTTTGTACATTTCCTGATTGCCAGTTCTTCCCTGAACTGTTCAAACTGGTGCTGGTTAACGAGCTTCAAACCCTGATTTGTGATTATTTTCACAAATGAAAGTATAAGGATGGGATGCACTTTGGCAGAGGAACAAAGTTACCCATAGGGTGTATGGCGGCAATCACTACATAGCAAGCCTTAGCAAAAGAAGTTCAGTGCTAAGGCACTTCTTGGAGCCAGCAACACTATGTGTACAGTTCTCAGCAATAACTTCAGTAAAGCATTCACTGTTACTTAAAAAGCCTCCAGTAGTGTTTCTTAGGTTATGAGAGCAAGTTGGCATCAGAACACAACTGAAAGAAAGAGAATAGAACCTGAAAAGTAACTGAAAATGGACCAATTAAAGTCTCCTGCAAAGTCAGTGTTTGAAGGAAATGCAGCAGAAAACTGCAGAAAGTGGAAGCAAGTACATGAGCTGTGTAGCATTGAGAGTGGCGCAGACAAAAATGATGAATGGCTGCAAACAGCATTATTTCTTCATAGGGCAGGTGAAGAAGCAAGAGAGGTTGTTAATACTTTGCATCAGACAAAGAAAAAATACAGATCTTAAAGAATACATTGGAAGCATACCGTGCACCATGAGATGTCACGTATGAGAGGTGTACATTTTTCACCGGAAGTCAGGCAGATGGGGAAAGTATGGACCAATATAGGACTGATTTAAAACTGGCAGCACAATCTTGCAGATTTGGAGAACGGTGTGAATCGCTCATTGACGACCGCATCGTGGGTAGTGTTGTGTCAGTTTCAGGCTGTTGAGGGCTGTTTAACCCTTGAACACGCTGTGTACATATCGTGCCGATGAAATGACTGCAAAATAATTGAAAGGGCTGGGTGGACCGGGAAAATATGTGAACAGATTGCAGTGTAAATCAGGGGCATGGCCATGGCCCACCCACTTAGCACTGAGGCCCACCCAGAGCATGGGCGAGGCCAGTGCCCCACAAATCCATAGGCTGGGAGGGGGGTGAGTCGTCCCAGGCAGAGGGGGGTGCCTCATGGGGGCGGGTCAGGATGGGGCTAGTACTGGGGCTGGAGCAGAGCTGGACCAGGTGCCTAGGCATGACTGGGCTGAGCATGAGCAGGGTGCTGGAGACCGGGGTAGCAGCGCATGGCGCCGGCAGGACAGAGGGATGCGGCCAGCCAGGCGGATGGACACTGAGCTGGGTGCAGGAGGGGTGGGCGAGCCTGAGCCCCAACGGGGCCCCCTCTGCCCCATGGGAGTGTCTTGCAGCCTGTGTGCCCCAGGCAGCCTCCTTTTGTGGTGGCTGCTGAATGGTAAAGGCCGGCTGGAGGGACCCCCATTCCTTCTGCCCCCCGTCACTGTCTGTCCCCCCAAAAGTCAGGGCCTACCCAGATTTCCAGTCCTAGCTACACCACTGGTGTAAGTCTGCCTTTATAAGCACTCACACATGCAGCCATGGACATGAGGACATCCTGCTGCTAATAAAGCCAGCGATCAAGAGAAGTGAAAAAAAAGAGGAGTCCGCGGAAACTCAGGATTGGTATAGATGTGGCCAGTGCCATGCCATAAGAAACTGTCCTGCATATAGGCAAGAATGCCAAAGATGTGACTGCAACTTTATTCTTAAATGACTGGGAGTACCCAGTAGATAAAAGTGTACAGTGCAGGTAATTCCATAATCATTTCAATATGTACCGGGGGAGAGGGAGGTCTGTCAGCCTTCCCTGTTACCCAACCTGTTACACAAGCAACCCTATGCTGGGACCTCACCCCCACCCTCCGCAATGAGGGTTATGGGGGAGCTATCAAGGTGGAGGAGGGGTTGGGTCCATTCCATACCAGTCATAGGAGCCTCATCCTTCCTCTGTTTCCATTCCTTTAAAGAATACCTCCTTTAAACCCTTTACCAATCTATTTTATCTGATCACTGTATTCATTCCCTATGGAGTACCTGCACTGAACATCTGCCACAAGGAGGCTCCAGCAATTAGCTTGGTTTCCTCTCCCCATACCTAGCTGAGTTCTCAGACATATCCTAATGCCCCCTTTAATATTGGCCAAAAATGTATCAGCCCCCAAGTCTGACAGGTGGACCCCATCCTCCCTGAATAATTCTGGGGCCCCGTATCGTATGTCTGGAGGCAAAATTACTGACTCCTTCCCATGACACCATTGAATCTGGCCACATCCTTATTCACTTACCTCTTTGTCTTGTAGAGCCACAGAGACTTCACAGCTCCCCGCCACACCCTGCATTACAGTATGTCTCATCAATTTTTACTCCTGGGAAAAGTTCCAGGATCTGCCCAAGTCCTCATATCTGAGCATTAACTCTACCCCTTTACACATTCCCTAATAATTTTCCCCAAGGTGAACCACAGTTATCTCTGGGGCCCGCTCACAGGCCCCCACAATGTACAGAAGGGGCTCAGCTGGTCCCATAATAATGCCCTCCTCCTGTGCCAGCTCAGGACTGCTTCACCACTGAGGCTCAGCTGCGAACCTCCAGACAACTGGAATGCCTGGCTATGTGTCCAGTAAACACCACTGTGCAGATCCACCATCTGCCAGCATCTGGAATGAAAACACAACAGAAAATTAACATAGATTCCCCACGTAGGGTCTCACATTCATTCTGTATGCTTCACAGTGAATAAAGGGACCCATCTCTTCCTGGGCTTATTGCCACGTATGCCCTCACAGCCTCCACAGAGCAGATCCCGGGCTCACCACCCTCCTGTAAAATGATGGATTCAACCCCAGCCTCCTTAATCTGTCTTTGACTTCCTCAATGTTAATATAACCAATTGCCCCTCCCAGTGTTTATCCCTCAGTTCCTAGGCCCTTCCAGGAGAATCCCTACAGGACCCATGTACTAGCTCACTGATCCTAAAAGTTCCACAAGATGCTACCAGAAATGCTGCCCTGAACAAGGCCACCTCCTGTCCACAATGACAAATGGATTCCAGGATCTGCATCAGGTGCTTGACATATTAACAGTGATGGGATGATGTGTAGCCTCCCTATTGCTGGGGCTTCAAGACCACCCCACTAGAAACCTTCGAACGAAAACAAGAGCACGGGTCACTTGCTGGAGGATTCTCTGCTCCTTGAAGTCTTTAAACCACGATTTGAGGACTTCAATAGCTCAGACATAGATTAGGGGTTTGTAACAGGAGTGGGTGGGTGAGAGTCTGTGCCCTGCCGTTGTGCAGGAGGTCGGACTAGATGATCATAATGGTCCCTTCTGACCTTAGTATCTATGAATCTGGGCAACCATTCAGACTTCTGCCAAATGTAAGGGCTGATAGGTGAGAGGAGATGGTTGAAGACGCCAGTCATTGGTGTGCTAATGACACCATGTACTGCAGCCCATGTTCCTCTGCAATGAGCCATATCGATGACAGGCCTTCCACATCCTGAAACTGCACAAAGTCATTAAACTGCATTAAAACTTCTCTCATAGCTCTGCAATGTTTGCAGAGCCACCTGATAGCCATCATATACCAAGGTTCCATAGTGCCAGCAGTATCCGTCCAGGTTCCTCACTGGCTTCATCTGAGAATGAGAAAATGTATCAGCTTTGCCATTATCAACCCCAGGCACATGTCTGAAAGAGAAACAGATAATAAAGCTTAATCACTGTAGTACAAATGCCTTCACCAACCTCATGTGTGATCTGGAGGACTGGCAATTGATAACATATACCACTGCCATGGTGTCACACCAGAAACACACCCTTTTATTAGCAAACTCTGTTCCCCAAATGACCACTGCAGCCAAAATGAGAAAAAAAATCCAGAAATGTTATTTCCTTTTTGTGTCCAGGCAGAGGGCCATTGCTGGGCACACCACCTGCCTTGGTAATCACCCCAAAATCCATACCTCCTGAAGCATCTGACTGGATCTTTAAGTCCTCCTCAAGTATCCATTCCTCCTGCCATAATGAGACTCCATTAAAATGGCTCAGAGCTGTTCCCACACCCCCAAATCCTCCTTCATCTCCCTATAATTTTTATAAAATGGTGAGGTCTTGCCATGCCTGGGGTCACCACTGAAAGCCAGGTGCAGACCGCCCATCTCGGGGCTACCACCTAGCAGGCAGGGTTAAAGATGCCCAGTAATAGATTGCAGCTCCCAGAGTATAGCTTTCTTGACCCTCCCCCACCCCTACCCCCACCAGCTCCTGAAGCTTACCAAAGGGAGTTGCGATATACCCTCCAGGATGTCCCGCTCAGTCCCTTGGTAGGTCAGTGTAGTGGTTTTTCCTCCGCTAGGGGTACCCCCAATTTTTTTTGCAAGGACCTGAAAGGTGTCCACCAGGTTAACACACTCATCCAAATCCACCCTGCCTGCGAACAAACAGTTGTCTTAGTAGTGCAGTCCTTTCTGTAAACCAGCTTCCCACATCACTGCCCCATCTAGCACTGAACTGAATTTCTCAAATGCTGAATGGGATAGTGCACATCCTGTGGGTATAGCTTTAACAAAATAAAACTGTCCCTCAAGAGAGAAACTCAAAAGGTTGAAGTCAGAAGGATTTAGTGGTAGCAGTTGAAAAGCAGACTTGATACCACACTAGGCCATCAGCATCCCTGGGCCACAAGACCTAACCATGTGCCTAGCCTCATTGATGGAGGAATAGCAGACAGCACACAAGTCCAGGTCTATTCCATCATTAACTGAGCTACCCTGTGGGCACGACAGGTGGTGAATTAAGTGACATTCACTGGAAACTGTTAGGATATAGATATTCAGGCCTGTCTGTAAAGGCCTATACTCTAAGAATTTAGGTGTATTCTTATCACTTAGCTAGTTATAGAAGTATAAAAGAAAGAATCAAAGTCACTGTCTGCCGGTGTAAGAGCCTTCTCTTACTGTGACAGTCTGAGGCCCTGTTCTTAGGCTAAGGCCTTTGGCTAAGCAGCAGAGGCAGCCATAAGCTGGAAAGCTAATGGTCACATCCTCACATTCCAAACTAGTCACATTGAAATAAGGTGCTATTGGGATGTTAGGAATACAATCCTGACCTGATAATGCCTATCGCCTCCAGAGAAAGGGAAGTGCCTATAAGATGTAAAAGGAAACTTAGTTTGATAGCATCCGGTCTGGCAAGAACTCACTTATCAATAGCTGGGATGTGAAATCCTCACTTCTGTATTGTTTTGTCATTATAGTTCCCGCTTTGCTGTTGTTTGTCTGTATAATCTCTGTCTGGTTCTGTGATTGTTCCTGTCTGCTGTATAATTAATTTTGCTGGGTATAAACTAATTAAGATGGTGGGATATAATTGGTTACATAATCATGTTACAATATGTTAGGATTGGTTAGTTAAATTTCAGGAAAATGATTGGTTAAGGTATAGCTAAGCAGAACTCAAGTTTTACTATATAGTCTGCAGTCAATCAGGAAGGGAGTGGGTATGTGGGTGGGGGAAATGAGAACAGGGAATGGGGGTGAGGAAATTGGAATCATGTTTTGCTAAAGGGGAAATGGGAACAGGGAATGGGGGTGGGGAAATTCGAATCATGTTTTGCTAAAGCAGGGGGGAATGGGAACAGGGACAAAGGTGTAAGGCTCTGTGGTGTCAGAGCTGGGAAGGGGGACACTAAGGAAGGAAACTGGAATCATGCTTGCTGGAAGTTCACCCCAATAAACATCGAATTGTTTGCACCTTTGGACTTCGGGTATTGTTGCTCTCTGTTCATGCGAGAAGGACCAGGGAAGTAAGTGGGTGAAGGAATAAGCCCCCTAACAGAAACCTTCTGAGGGACAAAGCCTAGGGGAGAAACCCGCAAGTTCTGTATAGACAAATGAGTGAATGGCCCTGCTACCCTATTGTCATTTAATCCGTGCGTAATCTTTTTCTTTACAATATGGCCTATTCCCACTAAGGACTTCAAACTTTTAGACATCACATGACTTTTTTCCCCCATAAAGGGGATCCTAAACCTTGCAGTAAACTAATCTCACAAATACGTCCCATCTATCTTGTCAGGGTAGCGCTAAAGGAGCACCCTTAATCATGGGCGGCCAGTGACCCGGCCTTTGGGGCAGGCTAGCCCCAAACTCCTCCCCTTCTGCCCAAGGCCCCTCCCCTTCCCATCTGCCCCCCCTCCACTCCCCTTCCCCTGCAGGAGCCCAGAGTACCCCCACTGTGGCCCGCAGCCCCAGCACTGGGCGGCCAAGGGGCAAGGCCCTAGCCCTGGTGCTCTGGGTGGCGCAGCCCCAGCACCAGTCGCCCTGACTCCCTGTGGGAGGCAGGCCAGTGAGCCCCAGCCAGCCTGGCCAGCCATGGCAGAGCCCTTCAACCACAGAAGGGGCATTGCAGGAATTTCAGGTGGTGGAATTTGACTCAAGCCATACTGGGCTTACAGGCCGTGACAAGTTTAAAATTAGTGCAAAGAGTCAATATGGTAAGGAAGAACCAGAAGGTGAGTGGGATATATTTAAAGAATAAAAGTTTGTATTTCAAGGCTTGCCAGGTAAACACACCATAAAGATGAACTTGCAAGTATCACCTATAATTCATGCACTTTGTAAAGTTCCTAAGCATTAAGGGACAAAGTAGAAAAAGAATTGTACCACATGGAACAGTTGCAATTAATAACAAAAGTGCAAGAATATACAAAATGGATCAATTCTATAGTAACTGTAGACAAACCAGGTTGAGATGAAATAAGAATACATTTAGATCCAGGAGATTACAATGGGAACATTTTTAATTGCCTACAGTAGAAGAAATCAACCAACCAATTAGCAAAAGCTGAAATTTTCATGGTCTTTGATGCCAGTAGTGGATTTGGCAAATACAGCTGGGTGACAAAAGATCTATACTCTGTAGATTCAACACACCGTTTGGCAGGTACCTGTTCACCAGACTTTCTTGGGGCATCTGTTCAGCTTCTGAAATGCACCAAAGAGTGATCCTACAGACAACTGAAAGTCTGGAAAGTGTTGAGTGTTATATAGATGACATACTGGTGTGGGGAAATACCAGACAAGAATATGATGAAAGACTTAAGAATACTTTTCAATTTGATAATGCAGCAGATAAAGAAAAAATACAGATCTTGGAGAATAAGTCTGAGGTGTATTCTGCACTGCAAAGAAATGTACTCACAAATAACACCTGTAATTCATGCACCTTGAAAAGGTCTTGGAATGGTTGCTTATCTTGGGAAATGTATCCCTCACACATCAATAGTAACAACTCCTTTAAGACAATTGTTGGGAAAAGATGTCAAGTTTGCCTGGATAAGGTGACATATGAACACTTGAAATAATTGTGCACGAGGGCACCTGTGCTGATGTACTTTAAAGTCAAAGAACCAGTTACTGTCCCAGTGGATACAAGTTCTAATAGATTAGGGGGCTATATTGCTACAGAATTGCCTCTAAAGTGACAGAATCCGAGTACTGGGAAGTCTCAGAAAAGAGATCTTGGCTATTATTCATGAGAGTCATCTGGGAGCAGAACTATGTAAAAGAAGAACTCGAGATGCTGTCTATTGGCTGGTATATGTAGTCAAACTGATGAGATAGTACAATCTTGCAATACATGTCAAACCTTCAAAAACAGAAAGGAAAAGAACCAGTGCTACCACATAATCACAGAATCATAGAATATCAGGATTGGAAGGGACCTCAGGAGGTCATCTAGTCCAACCCCCTGCTCAAAGCAGGACCAGTCCCCAACTAAATCATCCCAGCCAGGGCTTTGTCAAGCCTGACCTTAAAAACCTCAAAGGAAGGAGATTCCACCGCCTCCCAAGGTAACGCATTCCAGTGCTTCCCCACCCTCCTAGTGAAAAAGTTTTTCCTAATATCCAACCTAAACCTCCCACACTGCAACTTGAGACCATTACTCCTTGTTCTGTCATCTGCTACCACTGAGAACAGTCCAGATCCATCCTCTTTGGAACCCCCTTTCAGGTAGTTGAAAACAGCTATCAAATCCCCCCTCATTCTTCTCTTCCGCAGACTAAACAATCCCAGTTTCCTCAGCCTCTCCTCATAAGTCATGTGTTCCAGTCTCCTAATCATTTTTGTTGTCCTCCGCTGGATGCTTTCCAATTTTTGCACATCCTTCTTGTTGTGTGGGGCGCAAAACTGAACACTGTACTCCAGATGAGGCCTCACCAATGTCCAATAGAGGGGAACGATCACATCCCTCGATCTGCTGGCAATGCCCCTACTTATACAGCCCAAAATGCCATTAGCCTTCTTGGCAACAAGGGCACACTGTTGACTCATATCCAGCTTCTCATCCACTGTAACCCCTAGATCCTTTTCTGCAGAACTGCTGCCTAGCCAATAGTCCCTAGTCTGTAGCGGTGCATGGGATTCTTCCGTCCTAAGTGCAGGACTCTGCACTTGTCCTTGTTGAACCTCATCAGATTTCTTTTGGCACAATCCTCTACTTTGTCTAGGTCCCTCTTTATCCTATCCCTACCCTCCAGTGTATCTACCACTCCTCCCAGTTTAGTGTCATCTGCAAACTTGCTGAGGGTGCAGTCCATGCCATCCTCTAGATCATTAATGAAGATATTGAACAAAACCAGCCCCAGGACCGACCCTTGGGGCACTCCGCTTGATACCGACTGCCAACTAGACATGGAGGCATTGATCACCACCCATTGAGCCCGATGACCTAGCCAGCTTTTTATCCATCTTATAGTCCATTCATCCAGCTCATACTTCTTTAACTTGCTGGCAATAATGTTCCAAACAGACCATGAAAAAAATTTGGCATGGACTTGTTTCATTTTCAAGGTGCAAATAATTTTACTCTGGTTGATTATTATTCAAAATACAGCTGTTTGCTTCAGGACCCCACAAGTGTGTCTGTCATCAGACACTGCAAGTCTATATTTGCAAAGTCTGGCATACCTGAAGAACTCATTTATGACAATGGACCACAGTTTTGCTCCAGAGACTTTAAAACTTTTGCAAAGCAATGAGACGTTATTTACAAATCATCAAATGATTTCTCCCACAGTATTCTTGCCAGCAAGTTAAAGAAGTATGGGCTGGATGAATGAGGGGGGATTTGATAGCTGCTTTCAACTACCTGAAGGGGGGTTCCAAGGAAGATGGATCTAGGCTGTTCTCAGTAGTAGCAGAAGACAGAACAAGGACTAATGGTCTCAAGTTGCAGTGGGGGATATTAGCTTGGATATTAGGAAACACTATTTCACTAGGAGGGTGGTGAAGCACCGGAATGGGTTACCTAGGGAGGTGGTGGAATCTCCTTCCACAGAGGTTTTTAAGGTCAGGCTTGACAAAGCCCTGACTGGGATGATTTAGATGGGGATTGGTCTTGCTTTGAGCAGGGGGTTGAA